CCCAGTTCTTATTTGATAATCCTGTGGCTTACAATCCACCTTCCTGAAATGTTATTCAATGAAAACCATTATAGAAAATTACGTATATCATTTACTTCTACTTTTGCTTTGCTGTCTGCAAATGGGCTATCTTCATTTACTGAAGACACTCTGGTTTGCAGACTAAGGCAGACAATTAAAAATAAGTATACCACATATGGTATAAATTTGATAATGGAGATTAGAGAGTGTTAGATTTCAGAGTGACTCAATCTAATACCATTTTGTCATGATTTTGATTTTATAAGAGAATCTTGTATTTCGCACTGTGCTAGAGCCACAGTAGGCTTTCTAACAGATGTGTCACAGTTCTGTCTTGCTAGCACTGTTTGAGTTGACATGAAACATTGTCCTAAGATTTTAAATCGATTTTTCCTCAACCAGAAACCTCCTAGATATGGTGGAATGATAACTTCCAGCTATCTTGCTGGGAATTATGGGGCTCCCAATCCAGTGGTGGGATTCAATTTTTTTTACTACCGGTTCTGTGTGCATGGCTTGGTGGGCATGGCGTGGTTTGGTGGGCATGGCGTGGCTTGGTGGGCGTGACAGCAGAAGGATACTGCAAAATCCCCATTCCCTCCCCACTCCTGTGGGGAGGATACTGTAAAATCTCCATTTCCATCCCACTCCAGGGCAAGGATACTGTAAAATCTACATTCTACCCCACCCCACCCCAATAACCTGCTTTCCAGCTCCATTCTCCTGTACACAGCAACAAGAGAAGACCCAACCGATCAGCTGGGACTACAATCAGCTGGGACTTGGGAGGCGGTAGTTCTCTGAACTACTCAAAAATTCTGTTACTGGTCCACCAGAACCAGTCAGAATTGGCTGAATATCACCTCTGTCCCAGTCCCAAGATAAATAGAATAGCTACATTGGAGCAGTTGTTCTAATCTAAGAAGAGTTGCAATAAAAGAAGTTTATCTTCTGAACTCAATGGGATATATTCATATACTCAACAAACAGCAAATAAAAATAAGCATAATCACCATGGAGCAGAGCCTAAGCTTGCTTTTTAAAATTCAAGATATAATAGAATTAAATAAAGAAAAATATTTTTGATTTTCCTTCAAAAGTGAACCTATTTAGTTTTTCTAAATCTTGCAAAGTAGTTTACTAATATAGAAATAATGTGTATTATGGGGAAATCTGCATATATTTATGAAAAAATATGGAGATGTTAGGAATGTGCAAACATCTGTAGAACTGCAAATTGAACTTAAGAAATAAATTGGCATAGAAATAGGACAATTAAAAAAAAGATCCCCCCCCCCATTGAAACTGATTTCTGCAAGAATGACAAATTAAGAGAAACAAATCTGATACATTTCTACATTCCTAAATGAGATTGATCACTAAAAAAAAAATGTGATCTTAAAAAATGTGACCATTAAAAAGTGCTTTATGGACATTGTTCAGCTTATCATATTCTTCCCCTTATAGCATTCCATGGTTCAAGTGGGAATGTGCAATTATTTCCTTATAGTGAAAATCTGTTTCCTTATGTGTTCACTCACTCAAATTTCAAATGAGAAAGTTAAACGCTAGCACTGACACTGACTATCTAGTTTGGTAATGAAACATCTACAAGAAAACAACCAATCTCGGAGAGCACCAAGGACCCCACAGTTGAGCCTGAGCTACAAATATTCTCTTCTGTGGGAAAGAACAGCCCAAATTATCCTTCCCTTAAAGGAAACTCCAGTCTCTAAATGGAGTTAGGAAACAAACTCTGTCATATCATGAAAAATAGATTTAACAGGATAAAATTTGTATAGTAATACCCAGCAGAGAACATTAACAGACTTGCTTATTTTCTTGAAAACAAGCCATTGCACATCAATGCATTTTTTACATCACTTGTCAGGATATAAATCAACTAAACTGATTCCGAAAAATAAACAATTCATTAGTAATAAAGGTAAAGGTTCCCTCCACACATATGTGCTAGTCATTCCCGACTCTAGGGAGTGGTGCTCATTTCCATTTCAAAGCCGAAGAGCCAGCGCTGTCCGAAGACATCTCCTTGGTCATGTGGCCGGCATGACTAAACGCCAAAGGCGCATGGAACACTGTTATCTTTCCACCCAAGTGGCTCCTATTTTTCTACTTGCATTTTTATATGCTTTCGAACTGCTAGGTTGACAGAAGCTGGGACAAGTAACAGGAGCTCACTCTGTTACGCAGCGCTAGGGATTCAAACTGCTGAACTGCTGACTTTCTGATCGACAAGCTCAGCATATTAGCCACTGAACCATCGTATCATTTGTAGACTGATAATCAAAAATCCTCCAGAGACATGGTATTGAAAAAGCATCATCAATAGCTCAAACTTCTTCGAGAGATTTTTGCTACTCTAAGATACAATATAGTAAGTAATGTGATATGCAGCTTGTCTTGACTGATTCTTTCTTACCATTCCATTTGTCTCCCCAAGACAGGTGAATTGGACTTGTTTTTGTCATAGTAATTGAATTCAAATGTTCTTCTGGACTGGTTTTGGTTAGAGATGATGCATGCAGAAATGAAGAGCAGAATACAAACAGATGCGTCTCTCCAAGGGATGGTCTCTAATTGCTTCCACAACTACAAATCTGAAGTTGGCATTTACAGCAAATATTCACCTACATCTTTACACCTGGCACTAGCTGAAGATTGATGTCGGTAAAGCTGTTACTTTTATTTTCCATCCATTTTCCTAGTTTTAAGTTCATTTCATCTTTTTTTCATTTAAGTCTGAGTTGTTGTTTTTTTTTAGTTCACAGCTTGAGCATATTTTTGCTTGCAAAATTTATTTTTCCCCCTTACCATATTTTTATGCTATTCTTTTGGACCCAGTTATGTGCTCATAATGCTGCTAATGCCAAAGGATGAAAAGATGCTGTGACTTGGAGAGGCGATAAATTTAGATGTTAACCATTGGCATTTAATGTTAACAAAACCTTATTCTAATCTTTGGCTACAACAATGATTGCAAAGGCGTATTAATAGTGACTTACTACAATGCTGTTAAATGAGTAATTTTCTCCAAGTGCTTCTTAAAGTCTATTTAAACAGACACAAAAGGTGATTATTTCCTGCTTTGGGTTTTATTTTTAATGATGTATAAATATATACATGTCATTAAATGTGGATTCTATACAAGCTTGTTTTTTTGTCTTCCCCACTCAGTTATTGGCATTTAATACAATCTAAACTCTATAAGAACCTGAGGCACACTTGTTTGACATTGCTGTATCTTTTACTGGTCTCGAATGTAAAAGAAAGGATATTAGACCATAAATAGCTTTTGCTCTTCTATTGATTTTTTTAGCAGGTTCTCTGCTATAAACAACTTTCTTAATGTAAGTGTTTAATGGCAGAGCTGAAATGTCTGGCTAGGCCCACATATGAAGGCCTGACTTCATTGCTCAAAGTCAAAGACTAGACTAACTTCATGACTATAGAGTGATTTAATTAAAGGAGCAAATAAATCTTCAGCCTTTCTCTGACATTACCTCCCTTGCTCTGTCTCTTCAACTGATCTAATAGAAAAAAATAGCATTAAAATGTTTAGAGCAAAGAGTAATGGATTGCACCTGAGTTGGGATTGAATTGTGGAACTAGAAATGCCTGTTTTTCCACTTAATGAACATGTTTATCGTGTATTGAACATGTATTCAAAAATGCCCATACCAAAATTTGTCTAGTACTTTATTGCACATTTTAAAAACATGACCAAAAAGGATAAATTAAAAATAAAGTTTCAGTAGGAAAAGAAATAAGGTCATTTTTACAATAATAGTATTCTAAAGCCAAAACGTCTAAAATGAAACAACAAAGAGTCGGAGGGCACCTTTTGGATGAATTAATCAAGAAATGCAGTTCAGGGATGGTGGGAAGAAAGATGAGAAAGAAAGGCTGTTTCTGAATCCTGTAAATAGAGTGACATACTTGCCTTCACATGCAAAAGGATCACTGTATGGAAGTTTCCTCAAGAAAAGAAATTAAGATTTCAACCAGAGGTCTCTGGGAAGGTATTATGAATGCTAGTCCACAGGTGTACATAAGAAGCCAGAGTGGGATAATAAAACTCATAAACCTATTCCCCTTTCACTCTCCATAACCCATTAAAACCAAGCCTATTAGGGGATTCAATCAGTGTCAGATGAAGTAAGGGATGCATTCAGTGGTGGGATTCAAATAATTGAACAACCGGTTCTCTGACCTAAGGACCAGCTGGGTAGGTGTGGCTCGGTGGTCATGTGACCATGTGGGCGTGGCTAACTCAATATCACTCACGGTGATGAGCCTTAGCTGTTACAATGTAATAAGAGAGGAAGTTTCTATAAGCAGGCCAATAAAGATTAGGCTAGAAACAACACCAGAATGTTTCCTTCCTGCTTCCCTTCCTGTAAATTGGAAAAAAAACAAAACAAGATTTCTTCCAACAACTGGTTCTCTGAACTACTTAGAAAGTAAAAACCGGTTCTCCTGAACTTGAGAGACCGCCTGCTGCCAATTACCTCCAATAGACCGATTAGATCCCACAGATTAGGCTTCCTCTGAATTCCATCCACTGGCTAATGCCGACTGGCGACCACTCGGAGGAGGGCCTTCTCTGTGGCTGCTCTGGCCCTCTGGAACGAGCTCCCCGTGGAGATTCGGACCCTCACCACCCTCCAGGCTTTCCGCAAAGCCCTTAAAACCTGGCTGTTCCGACAGGCCTGGGGCTGATGAGTTCCTGTCCCCGCTCGAATGGTGTGTCTGTTGAGTTGTTTTTAATTGTGGTATTGTTTGTCTATGTCTTTTTTTCCCTATTTGTATCCCCTATCCCCCCCCTGACTTGGGTTGTGAGCCGCCCTGAGTCCCTTCTGGGAAAAGGACAGCATAGAAATATAATAAATTCAAATTCAAATTCAAATAGGTGCGAACTGGCTGAATCCCACCACTGGATGCATTTGTTGCCATTGGATTAAATCACGGGTAATTTATCTGATGCTGAAGGGCACAATGTGTCCCAAGAGCAAGCTCTGGTTGGTGTCCACGATAATTCCTGTCAGCCATGACTTTTACTATTTTAAAGATCCCCTTAATTCAAAATAAATACATGGGAAATATGTTACAGTGTAAGTGCCAGCATCATCTTTATTCTCAACAAAATCTGTAGTCATGTATGGGATTCTTTAAGCCTAGTAATACCAGTGGAACATAATAAATAAAATAAAAACAAATTCCCAGAATGTACGAAGATTAGGTGGCTGGATCCCAGTGTTTGGCTTAGAAGGATGTGCTCTTGCCAAGCGAACAGGCAAGCAGCAGCAAGAGATGAGAGCTGCCAGGGAGGTCCGTGGGAGTTAGAATGATGAAGAAACTTTCCCCCAAAGTTCTTTCCAATGGATTGATATTTTGGGGCTGATTATACTTGCTATGGCTGCCATTTAGCAAGAGTGCCACCAGCTTAAAAAAAAAAGATTTCAGTAGACAATATTTATGCTATAAATTTTCAGCAGAGAGAAGAGCTGACCAGCTGCTGAATTATCTTTAAATCTTTAAAGGCTGCTGGCACTATCTGGGGGAAATGTTATTTGGTTGCTCTTTGCTGATTCTATATTTGAGCTATGATGTATTAACAAACAGCAAATGTTCTGGTTTAGCTATCTTAGAACACTGCTGCGCAATGCCTCACTGTGGAAAGGCTATGTAATCCCAGTCTAGATGGGCTGTCAAACTCAAAGCCCGTGAGCCAGATGCGTCATGCTCTGCCCACGGCCAGTTTAGCGAAGGAGGAAAAAGTTGCAATACATCACGTGATGCTACCGTGATGACGCGAGTTTGACTCTCCTGCACTATAGCTATCTCCACAAATGAAGCACAAAATGGTGTGCCTAAATCTAAGAAACCACTATCATCCCCCCACAGAAAAGCCTTTTATTATTTGGGATTCTGAGCTTCTATTTCATCTTTCTCTAGGATCCAATCAAGGTGGCAAGGCAGCATATCAAATATAATATGGAAATGAATCCAATACATATAATAAATGTATTTACATCCTCCTTTGTGTTCACAAATGCTACATTGACAGACTTACCAAATGCACTTCACTTATGAATAAGCTGTTTACACGCACCGATATAAAAGAAAAAAAATAACAATATTATTGGGAAAACATATACTATTAGAAGAGAAGGGAATGCCAAACATCAGTATCAAGGGAAACGGGGGAACAGAAGACATGAAATCTACTTCAGCTGAAGTTATTCTCTCCCATCACGTCCAAAAGGTAGTTTTGGCCTGCAGTGCAGAGAAAGAAATATGAAACAATCAACCTTAGGAGATGAAAGTTGTCCATTTTAAAATTACTGTATGCTTAAAAGTAGGAGTAAAAAAATAGGGTAGGTTATAGATACAAATATAGGTATCATTAAGAGAATTTTAAAAGTCTTTAAACTGAAGACGAGAATCAGTTTGGTGTAGTGATTTATGCCAGGGGTCTCCAACCGCTGGTCTGCAGTCTGGTGCCAGGCCATGGCCCCTTGGGAACCAGGCCATGCAAGTATTGGGCAAGTGTGTGAACACGGGAAGCTGCATTTGTGCAAGCAGCATGCACGAAATCATCCCCTCCACCTCTGCCATTGCGGTTGCTGCGAATCCACAGAGTCGGAAGGACTGGGGACTGCTCATTTAAGATGTCTTGTTACGAACCAGAAAACCATGAGTTCTAGTTGGGTGACCTTGGGCCAGTCGCTTTGTCTCAGTCACAGGAAGTAGGCAATAGGAAACCACTCCTGAAAATCTTAAGAAACTACACAGACTTGTCCAAGTAATTGCCAGGAGTCAAGAATGACTCAAAAGCACCAAGACAAAAATAAAACCCTGAAGTTGCTATTACCTTACATTCTATCTTTATGAAGATGATCATATTATGATTATGAACAAATATATGGGAAGTGGTGATTTAATGAGATGGCAGCATTGTTAATAACAATAACATTATTGTTACCATTATTATATTGTATTTATTATACATGAAACTCAGTCAACTGAATATTCAAAAATGCATCACAAATACAATTGACTGTTGCTAATGGTTGATACAGATTGCTGCCACCATCCTAAGTATCAACCAAGTACCTTCTTAAAATATACAATGTTCCAAGTATCACAGTTTTTTGCAGTTCCACAGTTTTTTGCAGTTCCTCCACTGAGGCTGCAATTTGTTGATGTATTTTATAAAATTCTTGGACATGGTACCAAGTGCCCCGATGACAATGGGTATCACTGTTACATGTTTCATCCATAATTGGGTAGTTTTGATGGCCTGGTATTTCGTGATTTTTTCCAGTTCTTTTTCTTTAACTATGGCATCTCCTGGTACCGCAATGTCAATAAATTGTACATTTAGGCCCTTTACTACTACTACTACTACTACTACTACTACTACTACTACTACTACTACTACTACTACTACTACTACTACTACTACTACTTATCATCATCATCATCATCATCATCATTTGGTTAATCTTTGGTAAGATTCACAGCCTTTGGGGTTGGTTGGTAGCTCAACAGCTCGAGTCCTAACCAAGGACCTAAGAAATGTTAAAGTAACGTCGGAGGATATAAGCTGTTCTAAGTAGGGTGATTTTTTGTAGAATCAGAATGTTCAAGTCTGATAAATTTAAAATTTCCAAATAGCGAGGTAACCCTTTGGGTATTGCTCCAAGGGCTCCAATTACAATCGGGACAACACACAATTTCTTTTTCCACAGTCGCTCAACTTCAATTTGCAAGTCCCGGTACTTTGTGATTTTTTCTTGCTGTTTATCTTCAATTCGTGCATCTCCAGGTATTGCAATGTCAATGAACCATACTTTTTTTCTTTTCAACTATTGTTAGGTCAGGTGTGTTGTGGGCCAAGTGCCTGTCAGTCTGGATTCTGAAGTCTCACAAGATCTTGACTTTCTCATTAACTAAAACCTTCTCAACCTGATGGTCCCAGTGGTTTTTGATGTATAGGGTGCAGTGCTTTCTCCACTCCTTTTTAACATCTATGTGAAATCACTGCATGAGATAATCTATTACCAAGGTATGAGGTATCACCGGTATGTTGGGATACACAAGTATATATCTCCATTGTAGGTGAAGTGAGCGATCCCATGGACATCACTCATTCTTTTGCAGTGTCTGGAGACTGTGGCCTCCTGGATGGGAAACAATCAAACAACTTCAGCTGAACCTGGTAAGATAGGGCGGCTATGAGTGGGTTCCTCAATTTGATATTGGATGGGTTGGACTACTAAGACAAACCCAGTGTGTAATATGGGAGTCCTTTCATGTGTCTGCTTGAAGACCAGAGAGAGCTGTAGCTAGGAGGCCTTTGCTCATCTTCATACTGTGCACCAGTTGTGCCTTTTCCTGGACAGGGAGGTTCAGTCACTCATGCCTGGTCAACTCCCATTTTGACATTAAGGTGTAGTCCACATGGGACTACCTTTTAAAAGTACCCAGAAGCTTCAGTTGGTACAGAATGCAGTCTTGTGGGCAGTTATATGCAGTCCAAGAATAATACATGTGACACCTCTGCCGCAGGAGCTGCATTGGATGCCAGTCTGCTTCTGAATCCAATTCAAGATGTTGGTGATGACCTTTAAAGCCCTATATGGCATGGGGCCAGGTTTCCTATGGAATTGTTTTCATCCCATTACATCAAGGCTGTAATTGCCCAAACTGGAAAGTGTGTGTGTATGGGGGAGGGGGAGAGAGAATAAACAAACAGACACTCCTAAGTTCTAGAAAATATTTAAACCTGAAGGGCAAATTATATAATACAGACTGGATATGCTTCCCATCCAAAGTTTTCTCTCCCAATTTGTTTTCTCCACCTTGGAAGACAAGAATAGCTGTCATTTTGCTATTTCGAAAATAAAAATGTCCAGCTGGCAGATTCATGAATCTCTCTCCTTTTCCCATAACTTCTCTGTTCAACTACCCAGCATTAGGCAGCCTGAAACATCTGCCTCTGGGAGCAGACTTTAAATATTATCAAAGGTCAGGGTTGTTAGTACCTGGATTTATTTTTTTCATGGTGGACATTCTGCTTTAGGGGACAAAATGGCTTGTTTTGAGTTGAAAAGTCTGCTCTGGTAGCCAATTAGTTATCAAGTTAAGTCATTTATGTCCATTTATGTCATTCTTAGTAGCTCAAAAGGTACATATCTGATAATTATTTGCTTCTCTGTAGGTCTACTCAAGAATTAAATTATCCTTCCATAATTCAGATTAATGATACACATTTAATTGTGGTTGAAAACATTTTTCTCTACTATAGCATCCATGATGTGAAAGATGGCCCCGAGCTCCTACCATCCACACACCCACACCCCTCCAAATGTTATAGCAATAGCAATAGCAGTTAGACTTATATACCACTTCATAGGGCTTTCAGCCATCTCTAAGCGGTTTACAGAGTCAGCATATCGCCCCCACAGTCTGGGTCCTCATTTCACCCACCTCGGAAGGATGGAAGGCTGAGTCAACCTTGAGCCGGTGAGATTTGAACCACTGAACTGCAGATAACAGTCAGCTGAAGTGGCCTTCAGTACTGCACCCTAACCACTGCACCACCTTGGCTCTTCCCTGCAATACATGAAAGCCAACCTGCTGGGCCAACAATTTAGTAGTAGAATCTATTCCTAGATTCTTTGCCTACTTTTTCACATATTTTTCAAATAACTTTTTATATATTAATTATTGGTGTTACTGTTTTATGGTATTTTGTTATTAAGCAATGAGAATATTTTTAACTTAAACAGGGTTGGTATTTCCTTGACTGTCTGAAAACATCCTCTGTTTGGATGGATCTTCTGTCAACTGGGGAAAAGTTGGCACAGTGCCATCAGACTGTCCTGACTATGCCCATCAACCAGGGGTGGGATCCTACTGGTTTAAACTGTGCACCCTTCGGGCGCGTGCACAGTTTAGCGAACACTTACTTTCTGGATTGATGCTTGGGAAGAAAAACAGCTGAGGCACGGCAATCCACTCTGCCATGTGACTTAGCTGAGAAGATAAAGGTAGGTAAAGGTAGGTAAAGTGCAGGGGCAGTGGGCTCATTTGCTCACTCCCAGCTGATCTTTGGCGCTACAGGTTCATCCAAACCAGTAGAATCCCACCACTACATCAAGCCCTGACTCTTCTGTCTAGAGTAGGAATGAAGGCCTCTCAGTCTTGTCCAGTTGCTCACTCTCAAAACCATCTACTGGGGTTGATGGTATATATTTCCATTTAAAATTAATCCCTTTAGTCAATTCCTTTTTGGGAGAGAGGGTTTTTCCAGGATAGATTCTTCCCAATTACTATCAATACTTTCCCCACCAAGCAAGGGCTTAAGGACTCTACAGGGGAAACAATGGGCTTGAAGAAGATGTATATTAAAAGACTACCTATCTCTGTTGTCCTGAACATCTAAAAAGCTGTGGCAAGGAACATGTACAGAATACATACGTATAACTTCCCAATTAGGGCAGGGCAGGAAAGGCTACTCCTAGAATGACTCTCTTTAATGCTCATTTGAGGATTGTAAGCATCTGTGATTTTTCTTGTGTTGTTCTTGTATGAGCTGAATGCTCACCTTCTGGCAGGTTAGAAGCCTACAGAGATGCTTTTCTATTATAACCCTGAAGGCTCACTAATTTTGATGGTGTTTTTCCTGCAAATTCTATAGACACAACAAGCAAAGATTTTAAATAGTGGTCACTTAAACTATGGCAAAGAAGAAAGGGGAACAAGAAGACACATCCATGGATCTTTATTTAAATTAGAGTCTAGTTTGTTGGTTTGTCACAATTTTCTGCACTAGTTTACATAATTTCTGACCCCTGAAGAACAGAACACAAGTTCCTATTCTAGATGTCTCCATTGCCAGGTGTGGAGTGAGTTGTCAACTTATGTATGGTAAAGATCTGGTTATAAAATAAGATTTTTATCTCAATGCAATGCCTTTAACATTTTTTTTTAACTTTTCTAACTTTGGGATGTCTGGTTTGAATGGATATTCAATTAAGAAGGTGTTTGATATTCCTAAATAATGCCAATATATCCATAATATCCCAGACACATCAGACTATTCAGGTTAATTATCAATCAAAAGAAAAACTACACAGGACAGTTATTAAACTTTGTTTTACTTACCATTCCTATTCTCCTTTTTTCCTCATTTGCTCCTCAAAGAAATCATTGCACGCAACAGTCAAGGCAGCAACCAAAACCACAAATTCATTAAAATCCACTTCATTATCTCTGTTAATATCAAGATCGTGCATGATCTTATCGACCAGCTGGGGATCCTTTTGACACTATAAAAGAAAAAAAAAGAATAGCATACAAAATTGTTTGAGGCATGGGAGTTACATTAGAGATTTCTTTTTGGTTGCTTGAGGCTATGTATATGCTTTCTCTGTAAACCTTGGGGAATTTTTATATGAACAGTGACATTTACCATTGTCACAACAGCGTCTGTAGCCTGTTTGTCTCAGTAGCAGTCCCTAGTTTTAATATGCATGGATTTTATTTTTAATCTTTCCAACAATTTATTATCAAGAGGTGAGAAAAGCCCCCAATCTTTTGGCCTTCCTCAATGGGGTCAAAACCTGGCTGTGTAGCCTTGTATATGGGACACACGGACCCCACAATCTTGGGTTGGGCTGTTTGGCACCATAAGACACCCCACTCCCCACTACTAACCTAATCCACCATTTTGGAATTCTTCATTTTTTGACATTTTTACAATGTTGTATAATTTTAAAAAAATTAATCCTAAATTATTCTGATTTTAATGTTTAATTTTTCTGACTATATTTGTACACTTCCCAGAGCCTCTCTCTATTAAGGAATATGAAAAAAATAAATAAATAGATACGGTAAATAGATAAACAAACAAATAAATAATAAAAATGTTTCTCCTACTTCTATTGTTCAGTTAAATGAATCAAATCCTGACCTCACCTATAAGATGATGCAGCCATTTTGTGCCATCAACCTTCTCACTGCAGTCTCTCTTTCTTCTCTAAAACTTTTAACTGTGGTTCTGGTGTCTAAAACATTGACCAGCCTGTGTTAAAGTCATCACATGCAGGGTTGTGATTTTGTTTTTAGTGCATAATGTAAAGGGAGCAATCTTGATCAATGCCACTGAGCACAGGTAGGAAGGTTTAAATTCCCACCATTCTTCACCACTTGATTAATAAAATCCCCATAGGCACACACATAGGATCCAGGTTTAAAAACAAATGTAATTAAAATAAATAATTTTGTTGGAACCCCCGCCCCCCGCCTCCTTTGGGAGAGGAGTTTGCAAGAAAATGTCTAGAGAAGGTTGATTTTCCCAAACTGATCATATGGTCACTTTGGTCATTATTGGACTTTGTATATTTAAACTCTTAAAAAGCTATCAAAGGGCAGTTGCTCACTAGGGTATGACATAACTTTATAATCTAGTTAAGATCAAAGAAAAGAGAATTGAAGCTCACAGCTCAGGTGGACTTGTCCTGAACCTAAATATAGTACACAGTTTGTTACTTTTACCTCACCTACAAAATTGTGCAGCCAACTTAAAGTCTGAGAAATCATCCACTCAGGAGATATCTCAGTAAGTTGCTGCACAGGGTAAAAAGAATCCAATCCAAGAAAAGTGATGATTGATTTTTTTAAAAATTCTCCTTTCTGCTTTTACCAGGCTGCACATTTTTAAGATGACACTTTTCTTAGAATAAATAGGCTACAGATGCCTAGATCATATTTCTCTCCTTCCTCATCTCTGTAGAACAATGTTAGTGAAATACTGCATAGGGACAAATAGTGCAGCAAAAACCACATTCTCCCCAGAAATATAATGCAGGGATGTCAAACTCAATTTCATTGAGGTTCACATCAGAGTTGTGTTTCACCTTAGGGGGCCAGGGTGGGCATGGCCAGCTTGACATTACTCATGTCAGGGGTGCCTGTGGTGGCCTGAGTACTCTGCCAGTAAAAACGGGGTCCTGAGCTTTGTTTTCAGCTGTGACTACCTCCTGCAACCCTCTACCGATTGAAAACGGAGCTCTGAAGCCCATTTTTGCTGGCAGAGGCATCGTGGGCCAGTCCTTCACTATTTCCAGGGTGGCCCCGTGGGCCAGATCTAAGCACCCTGCAGGCCAAATCTGGCCCCTGGACCTTGAGTTTGACACCCCTGCTATAATGCAACAATCTCCAACCTTTCCAGCTCAGTAGACTGGTGGTGATGGAGAGGGTGCTGTGGAGGTGGTGGCAGTGGGGAAAGAAAGGGTGGTTTCACATGCACATGGGTGCCACTTCACAAATGCAGCTTCACGCATTCACACATTCACCCTCTATGTCCACGTCCCAGTTGCTAATGGGTTATTGCCCAGCACTGGGCCAGGACTGGGGATTGGGGAACCCCCTCTTATGGTGGGAGCTTTTCTTGGCAGTCATATGTGACTGTATGTATTTAGCATAGATAGGAAATTATATTTAGAGCCTATACAGTTTCTAATCAATTTGTGAATCATAGATTACCAAATTTGTGTTTTGAAGAGCCATTGTATCTTGTGCTTGGGCTGCCCAACTTTCAAATGTCATCTCACAATATGGATTCTCCATTCAATTCCCAAGCCAAGAAGCTTTCAGATGAAGAGTCATTGATGCCCACGATGCTACTGCAGTATTTAAATAGGTACAATGGCTCAGCATAAATTAATCTCCCAGTTAGAACAATATTTAACAATTTATATGCCTCAACATCTCAAAAGAGCCTTTTTTTTGGAGCTCATTTTGAGGAACTAGGCTCCATGGTAAGACATGGGAGGTTTCATGGAGCTCCATTTGAAGAAAGATGGTATATGTGGAGCACCAGCCACTGAAGACATTATGACATATTATTTTTGACTGCAAACAGTATTCGGCGGAAAGGGCTGCTTATTTAGATTTTTATTTAAAAACTAAAAAGTATTGGGGAACCCTGGGGAATTGTCTTGCTTTTTGCAAGGAATGAGTAAAACCACACTCTTTATATCAAGGCCATTTCGAAGAGGACGGAATATTTACCTCAGATGGGTTAACTGCAAGGGAGAGTACTTACTATGAACATAACCTATTGTTTTCCTTGTATATATTTATATATTTCTATTAATTATATACTTTTAATATGGTCAAATGACTAAATCAATAACATTTCTAGTGTATTCTGTGAATGAAATGCCTTACTGATTTTAACTGTTCTTTAGCATATTCTTGGGCCATCTTTGATAATACTCTACGTTTATGTCTTTTGAAATTCAGATGCAAATTTTTTAATGTATGGAACATTTCTGGGCCTTTTTTGGATGTATGGAACAAGCAGTGTGGATATAAGGAGTACAAAAGGAGGACAATTAGGTAAAGTATAGCTGAGGAAATATAGTTTTGAAAATTGTACTTTCTTTCCAGGCATGTCAGGGTAATTATATTTTCATCTTCAAAAAGAGAAAGAGGGATGCTGGAGAGATAAAATGCACTTCAATAGCTAAGGTATGACATCATGTGGAGATACCATAACAAAGTGTTGCTAGTTTACCTTAGAAAGAAGCTTTGGAAAGATGTTAGGTCCTCTGAGACCTGAATGTCATTATTACGCCAAATGCCTCTTTCATTTGACATATGTTTGCATGCCTAGCAACCAATAAGGTAAGGAACGGAGAAATAATACATTATTTAAGATGTTCACAACTAAATTTAGATTTGGAAGAAAGGGGGAACGATGAAAGGAAACTGCGAAAATTGCCTTTTGGTCAGCAAGATAAGCTATTGGGAGGATATGTGGCAACTGAAAATACATTAGAAAACAACGGTGCCTATAGAACATGATCGGGAATAAAAGGAATTTAAAATGGAGAAAAGTTAAATACGAAGAAAAGTACAGCTAATCATCACCTGCCACTTTTGCTGCATCTCATTTCATAAAATATTCTCTCTCTCCCTCCCTCCTCTCTCTCCCTCCCTCCTCTCTCTCTCTCTCTCTTTCTCTCTCTCTCCCCCCCACACACTCAGCCACACACACAAATACAGATATCTAACTGTCATTTTGAATTATTCAGGTTGCAGAAATAAATTTGGCATTGGCATACAAGCCATTATCAATTTATCACTATCAAGGTATGGAATCAAAAAAAATGCAGCTTGTGTATATTTCTGTTTGGAATGGTTTATCTGTAAACAATTCAGGAAAATTAATAAATATTTTTAAATAAATATTTATTAAACTAATGGTCTTCAGACTAAACAACAAACTCCTTAAATCCTTAAAGCTATACTTTCCCACATTGATCTTGAATCACCTGAAAATTGTATCTTGTGACTAATTTACAAAATCAACCTACTTGTCTTCAACCTCATCTCTAGCAACAGTGAGGATGCAGCCACCTGCTTTGTTCCTCCTGAGCTTCCACCAAATATAATTGGCGACAATAACTAAATAATATTACGCTTTTTGGTAATGTCAATTACAGAATGGGTGCCACCACATTCTTTAACATGATTGCTTACACATCTCCAAATTAACAAAAATCTTATTAGAGTCCACTAAAATCCTGTAAGATATTACTGAGCTCTCATAATTTTTCCGACTTCTAATTGAGTTCTTGCAAAATTTTGACGTTCTTGTAGAAGACCATTAATATTTCATGAAATTTCAAGTTTTATGAATATGGTTATATTTTTCAAGGATTGAAATGCCTCTAGGATGCTATGCAGGTAACTGTATTGCTGATTTATTAAAAAAATTGTAGCAGTTCTTTTCAGCACATGACATAAAAGACATCAACTTTTTATGTCATCAGCACAGCAGAGATATTTCATCAACTCCATTGAGAAACCAACTGCCTTTAGTAGTGTTTATTTCAACAAGATTCCTGGCCCCAGATAAGAAGTTTATGAGTGGGCTCTGGAGTTTGTTTTTTGTCTTTTTTGAGATCTAAGAATGGCCAGCATATGAATTCACAAAGGTATTCGTCCAGTATTCCTGGAAATAAAAAGGCTGGACTATTGTAGATGAGCTTGATAAAATCCAATTTATTTCTATCTGAGTTTTAGAAGTATGTTCACAGATCTTACTCTGAACAGCTTTGTACAGTGAAATAGATTGGTGGCTATTTGGGATTGGATTTTATGCATTAAGACAATATTGCTCCTAGAATCTATTGCATTGGCCATTTAGTTCTAGCAAATACTTTATTTTTTCAGTCCTCTTAATGGTACTCATATGAAATTATGTATTTTAATTCTTTTTTAAAAAAAAATAAAAACTTTATTTTTGTCTATATTTTTATCTAATTAATAATGTATTAAGCATTAGGTGCTTCTGTAATACTTCTAATACAGGGTAAGGTTTACTATTAGGCTTAACTAACGCCATTTTGTTACTGAGCTTCATTTGAATAAATAACACACTTCACAAGCAGGATCTCAACTTATGATTTTCCCATTCCCACATAAAAAATATGATAATTGTGCTTTCCATAATAATTAATCCAATATGCCAGGCTACCTAGTTCTAAGAACTCATTCTCTTGGAAGTGGCATAATATTGCATATCTATAATGTATCTGCTATTGCAGAAAACATCTGATTGCTTATCTGGAAGTCAAATGTTTTTCAAGCATCAACCAATAGCTAGTCCTCGTCCTCAATTTTTATTTCTAATACTGTAAATAAACAACAGAATATACGTAAGAAGAATTGTTCTTACCGCAAGGAAATCAGTAAGTTCACTGGTGAGAAGTTGCTTGAGTTCTCCTTTATTGAGTTTGTATTTATCCCCTTCTTTGGCAGAGTAATGATGAAAGACTCTGATTAAGGTATCCATCGCACCCTCCAGTTGTGATGGCATACTACAAAAGAATCAGAAGCTAATGGCCGGCTTTCACAAATGTTCCAAAAAGGCAATTACTCCGTTTTGCGCAAACAAACAAACACACCACTCATCAGAAATTCATTAGCATAGCATCCAACCTCTCTGCTGCTTTAGTCAAGAGCACACAGTTGTTGTTTACCATGCTAAGTGAGGAGAACAGTTTCTAGAGACGAATCCTGGAAGACAAGTTCAAGTTCCTCAAATACAGCAAAGCAGACTACACAACCAGAAGTCCCTAAAACAAATGGGATGCTCATCTCCTCTCAACATTGCAGACAAATGGCCAGTGGAAGAAAAGAGGGAGAGAGATGTGTAGATGTTGTCAAATGACCAGATGAACAATTCAATGCAATTCACTTGTTTTTTTTGCTCTAATTTAACCATTTTTGGGGCCTCGGCTCCAAAAATGCAACCCCAGGGGTAAAGAAACAAAACATTTATAATACCAATAGGAGTATTTAAATACAACATTCAGGAGTTTTCGCTCCTACCTGTTTCAGATAAAGCAGTTCCAAACACGTACTGTCTCCAGCAGGTACTGTATAGATTCTCTTTGGTTTTATCCTGAAAGTCCCACCCAATCTCTTCTAATTCCCCAGAGCTTCTAGAAGGAAATCACCAATGACAAAAAGCCCCAACTCTCAACTTTCGCTTTATTTGTGACAGCCTGTTAACTGTCAACAGGTGTTGGTGTCTTTCCCCTGGAGTCCTTCCGTAGGCTGGTTGGCTTCCCTGAGCAACTATGTTAGGAGCTGAGAGCAGAATGGCTACCAGTTCATTAAGCTATAGAGGTCGGAAATCCAATTAAGTTGCTAGGAAGCCAGTCCCCTGGGAAAACACAGGAACTGCAATACTGAACGAGAGGATACAATGAATTCTCTTATTATTTATGGAATTTATTTCCCATCCTTTCCCTAAGAGGCTGAGGCAGCATGCGTAATCAATCCCTGTTAATTTCTTTCCACACAGGTGCATTCTACTTTGGGGCAACAATGGTTCCATATGGGTTTTTCGAAGTGTGTTAGGAGAGTTGAGGGACAGGGCAAGGGGAAAATGAACATAGGCACTAAGTTAAGTAAAACATACTCTTCAATCTCTTCTATTAAGTATGTTTCATTTAATGCAAAGAAAATTTATATCTCGGATGATACATTTAGTTTATAAGAGCCCTGCAGTATACATAAAGGCAAACAATTGTGGAAGGCCCATGGGTATCCACCTAACTATCAGTTTGAGTTTAGATATTCTTTCCTTGTTCAAATCAAACAGGCTAAAACACCACGTCTTTTCTTTTACAAAATAGAATATTGTCATGGGTTTAACTAGCTAGAAAGATGGTGTCACTCTTTACCAATTTTAAAAAAAGAAATATTTCAGTATATTGTTTTGAGATTTAAATTTTATGGTAAATACGCAAATGCTTAACAGATTAATTAAATTAATTAATTAAAATACTTCATGTTTTACAAGACTAAGTGGGCAGCCTCTGGGTCCCTAAATGCTATTGGAAATATGTGTTCAATCCCTCACCTGGCTAAATTCACTGAGTAGGAAAGGAAAGCATTTCCTGCTGCATTTCACATAACAAAATCTCTGACAGGGCCTGAGCACAACCAGCTCTATTTGTACTTTACACATTGTAAAAAATGACAACAGTTCACCTTCCTTTGATCCAACACAGTACAACTCTAGTGCAGTGTTTTTCAACCTTGGCGACTTTAAGTCCTGTGGACTTCAACTCCCAGAATTCCCCAGCCAGCTGTGCTGGCTGGGGGATTCTGGGAGTTGAAGTCCACAGGACTTAAAGTTGCCAAGGTTGAAAAACACTGCTCTAGTGAATATTATCTGGAAAAGGCAGAACTATGGCTGAGGAATGGAACTCTGATCATATGTGCAC